CTCGTGGCTTGGAGACATCTTTTTTCACTTGACCGAGTCGGTGAACTGTATCAATAACATCTGGAAACTTTGTCTTGAACTCCGGCAGGATCTCCTTACATATATTTATCACCTCAGTACGGACATCTTGCTCCTTGCTCTCAGGCACACCATACAGGCGCAGGTTCCAGCGTCGCGTGTAGTTCTCCAGTTCAGTGACCYGTTGGTCAACGGTGTGRAGTTTTTTTCTGTCTCACGAGCCTTCACGTCTACTTTTTTAACTTTCTCCTTTACCTCCCAAATGTCAGCACATACRAAGTCTACTGTTTTCTTTAGACTCTCGATCTTCATCGTGTTGTCAGAAATCAGCTTTTCCATATTTTTTTCCAGACTATCTAGTCTGGTATTGAAGATGGTTGATATTTGCTGCACAATGTTATCTTGGTCCATTTCTAGCGAGCTGTGGGCCTTCATCTTTTTCGAAGCAGGTGGTTTAGTTGGTGTTAGTTGGTGATACTGTTCTCTGTGTGGGTCTGAACCTGAATCTRTGATTCATCTGTTCTGGAACTGTCAGTRTACTGCCACCTTCTGGAGGGAAGTAAGTCAGTATATCCAAGAGAAGATTGATTCTGTTTTCTGTTTAAGCCGGTTTAATGTTTTGTTTGGTCTCCATGATGTAAATGGTAAAAAAAGAAAACAAATGTATGTCATAAATTTAATATTACTCTTAGGTAAATACCATATACACAAATCAAAGTTCAGTCACTCCACTCCCTCTTTTCTGGTGTTCAAAAAGGAAAGCTGAACAATATATCATAAGCATCTCTGAGTCTAATAATAAGAAAGCTGTAAAAACTATTGAGTTATGCACCTTATTGAATGTCTATGTAAATGTACCCCCCGGCTTTTGTTCAAATGTTCAAAATGTATGTTGATAACTGCCTTGTAATAGTTGTTTAATAATAAAATAAAAAAAAAACTTAAAAGCGTGAAAACATGAGCATTTGTAAATAATTAGGTTTATAATAGAAACAGATTACCCATTTAACTAAAGCAAATGGGAAGGATTGCTAAAGCTAGCAAGCGAATAATAAAAAAGCAAACGTCAGATTGAACCTTGGCTAATCTGAGTTCACTGTGTTTAATCACTCAGCTGATATTTATTTCATCTTACATACAATTGTTTTGTTATAATGAAGACGTCTGACAGTGTGAAACATGTTTGTCCCAGATTATTTTGGCTGATCCATTGTGAGTGGCTTGTCCACAGCTGAAGCGCTCATTGGTCATTTAGTGGCTTAAATTTGTGTTTTTTGTGTTTGTCACCTCAAGGCATTCCTAGTGAACATGGGAATCAAAGTTCGCCCCCGCTGCTTCTTTGACGTTGGAATCAGTAATGTTCTTGGTAAGGAGATATTAATTTTTGTTTGTGGTGTTTGTGATACACTTACTATATTACAAAATGTATTTAGGAAACACTTCCAATACTAATAAAGTATACCTGCATCTGTCAATTCAGCTGATCTCTAAAAGCACCTTAAACATTCATGTTTTTGGGTTTGACAGTTGTCTTAAGTACTTGTTTTTAAGTTAGGTGTAATAATGGGGGGGGGGGGCACTGATTGGTGGGCCTGCTGGATAGAGCTTCATCAAAGCTAAACAACAAAAGAAATCTGAAGCTTCTATGTTGAAGAGTTTCTGAGTTATAAGCATTTTTGCATGTCCTGACACCCCCACTTTGAAAGGAGCCCCCTCCTCAAATATGGGGTCTATCATAAAACCGTGGACTGGTGCAGTGTAGGTCAGACTCATCTACAGACCTGCCAAACTTCATGTTGATCGGTGCAGCCGTTTTTGTGCTACGGTTGACCAAAAATCACTGAAAAAAAAAAAAGAATAAATAAACCGTACGAAAACAATATGACTCCCGCTTATGCGTCGCGTGGAGGGGTCATAATGATAATAATAATAACCTGTGACTCTGGTGTCTCCTGACAGTGGGCAGAGTTGTGGTGGAGTTATTTGCAGACATCTGTCCTAAAACATGTGAAAACTTCAGATGCCTTTGCACAGGTAAAAAATAAATTCCATTGGATTTATTAGTTTTTCTATTATTATTTATTTGACAAATCATAGTATCCCCAGTGCAATTAAGCACTTTTGTTTTCTTAAGGTGAGAAAGGCATTGGTAAAGGAACTCAGAAACCCCTGCACTACAAAGGATGTCTTTTCCATCGGATTGTTAAAGACTTCATGATTCAAGGAGGAGACTTCAGTGAAGGTAAACACAAATGTTCAAATACCAAAACAGGCTACATTTATCCTGAAGATTAAAAAATACATATATTTGAGAACCAATTAGCTATTCTTTTCAGTAACCAGCAATAAAGTGGATTTGTATAATCCTCTTTAGGAAATGGAAGAGGAGGTGAATCTATCTATGGAGGCTTTTTTGAAGGTGAAGAAAGCACCTGTTTGTTATTATCCAAAGCAGTGTTTACTTCAAGATGACAGAACAATCTTATCCCTTTTCTTTAGATGAAAGCTTTGCTGTCAAACACAACAAGGAGTATCTGCTGTCTATGGCYAATAGGGGCAAAGATACAAACGGATCCCAGTTTTTCATGTAAGCACTGTTTTGCAATAATATTGTTTTTTAACGTAATAGTAATTGTGCTTTACAAATAAATGCAATYTTTGTTTCTTCTGTTCCTGACTGGGATGCTTCAGTACAACGAAACCTGCACCACATCTGGACGGGTAAGYGCCTGAAAATATTTAAAACAGACATTTGTTGCATAATAAGCGTTGTGTTTCATTTATCTGTTTTTCTTAGTGTCCATGTGGTTTTTGGTCATGTAATCTCTGGCCAAGAAGTAGTTCAAACAATGGAGAACCAGAAAACGGATCCTAACAGTCGGCCCTATGCTGAAGTGAAAGTTCTTAACTGCGGAGAACTCATCCCTAAATCTAAAGGTTTGCAGGAGCAATGGTGGTTTTACAACTAGTTTTAAATGTTTACCAGCCACTTTCAATACTTTTTATCATTCTTGTAGCAAAGAAAGCTGAAAAGAAGAAAGAGAAAGCCGGCTCCGGGTCCGGCAGCAGCTCCTCTGACTCTGAAACCTCCTCCAAGTCGTCATCCGAGTCGGAAGCATCTGAAAAAGAATCCAAGAAGCGAAAAAAGAAGGCAAAGAAGATGAAGAAGAAGCAAAAGAAGGAGGATAAGAAAAAGTAAACTATTCCATCAGTTTTAACTGGTATGAAAGCAACACRCAGGGGTTTTAATCACAGTGATTTTTGCAGGTCTGGTGCTGAGAGCGCTGAAGAGAAGGACCAGGAGGATTTGGTTACATCTACAGTACGTCCTGAAGAAATACCACCCATCCCTGAGAATCGGTTCCTCATGAGGAGAAGCCCTCAAACAGTCCAGGCAACAAACAAAGAGGATGAAAAGGATCAGAGAAAGAAAGAGGACAGGCCAAGACAGAAGTTAGTGTTTATCAGGAAGTTGTTATAATAATAATAGTATTTTATTAAAAAACACCTTTCAGGACACCCAAGGACACTTATAGCAAGAGACACATCAYAGAAGAATGTGTGAAAAGACAGTTAGATCATTATAATGTAATGATCACTGTGGTTAAATAATGCCTTCATGTGATAATTTTCATGTAATTTCTCTCCTTTTGCAGCTCTGGTACATCATACAATTCTCTGTCAGCATACCAGAGACGGTTTGTGGTGACAACGAGATCAGGCAGGAAGATAAAAGGAAGAGGACCCAGGGTAGGTCCTTGAGGAGCTTCGATTTAAAATAATCTAGTGTTTGACAAATTGTTTATTGTTAATGATTCCCTGAAATCAAAACTAGGTGTTGAAGTTGGGGACAGCTGTCTTGTGYGAGGGTTTTCAGATGTTTTTTGTTTTCTAACTGCAAACAGAGATACCGGACTCCGTCACGCTCCCGCTCGAGGTCCAGAGATCGATTTCGGCGCAGTGAAACTCCTCCACACTGGCGTCTGGARTTGCAGCGTCAGAGGATGAGGGCGGTCACAGGAGAGCGGTGGATTAAGGGTGACAAGTACGRTCATTTCAACTGACCTGACAGACTCATTTGACTTTAAAAAGTGYGACACTGACACTATCATGTCTGCCTGTTTTATGCTGCTGCCTTTTGTTTTTTTACAGAAGCGAAATGAATGAGACTAAAGATGAAGAAACTAAAACTCCAAGGCGAGAGAGAAGGGCCTCCAACACGCAAGAAGAACACACGGATGAGAGTAAAAAAGACAAGAATAKGTCTCACAGATCTAAAAGCAAGGACGACAAGCAGGAAGAAAAGGCTGAGAAGCGTAGCAAACACAAAGCCAAGAAAAAAGAAAAGTCTCACAGTCGCAGTAAAAGCAGAGAAAAGAGTCGACGGTCCAAAAGCAAAGACAAGGACAGCAAGCATAAAAGTGGCGACAGGAGAGGTCACTCGAGGAGCAAAGAAAAAAATGTTGACAAGAAAGAGAAGAGGTCAGAACGAGGTCAAAGTAAAGATAGACAAARGGGTCACGAATCTGATAAAAAACATAAAGAAGAACCGAAAGCGAAAACTGAGGAGAGAACCATTAAAATTATTAGGCAGCCGTCCAAGTCTCGAAGCAAGGAACGGTCATCCACGAAGGATGAGCGCAGGTCCAGGAGCAGAAACAGGGATAGAGGGGAGCCTTCGGCGTCCAAAGACGAAGAAAAACGAGAAAAAGACCGAGGCAGAGGAAGAAGCAGGAGTAAAGACAGGCGACACAACAATGACAGGGAGAGCAGGAGAGGAGGAACATCCAGAGATAAAGACCGGCGATCCAGAAGTCCAGACAGGAGCAGGGCTAGAGACTCGCAGCGAGGCCGGCGCTCTAGAAGCAGGAGTCACAGGAGAGACCGCAGCAAGGACCGATCCTCTCATCGAAAAGATCAAAGCAGAGATTCTGCCAAGCAAAGGAGACRCCGCAGCAGCAGCAGCTCTGAGAGCGACAGAGCTGAAAAAAAGAGGCGACGGAGGAGTCCAGAATCTTCCAGGAGAAACAAGAGTCCTTCCAAATCCAGGGACAGGAGAAGCYCGGCCAGACCCGATAGTACTAAAGGTAAAACTAGAAACAATAGCAAGAAGAATCATTCGAGCTCCAGCTCTGACAGTGACTGATCTTTTTTTATATTGATATTAAAACCGTGTGTAGTCTCAGCGTTCCAGTCCTCAGTTTTTCCAAAGTCACTTTGAAAATCTAACTCCAGGCTGGTAAGTTAGTGACATACAGATTAAATAAATTTCCAGTAAATRAATATGGCATTTTACAAAAGCCTGATTTAAAGGCTTTTTTTTTTACAATTTTTATCTCATTTGATCATTTATATTGGCGTTCATCAGCTCCTAAATCAAACATTTTGTTTAAAACATAAATATTACAGTCAAGCTGTTTTCACAAGAAGTCTGGAAGAGATCATTTATTCTGTCTTGCATGATTATTCTTTTTATTAGAAAAGTTTTTGTTTGTCACATTGCTACATTATTTTTACTTTATCTGTTTTTTTKTTTGTTTGTTTTTTTAAATAAAAGGCTGTTTAGTACAAGATACATGCAGTTTGTAAAATCTACAAGTTGGTTCTAAATATCTGCTGGAGTTTAGATGGAATTAAAAACTGTGATTTTTTTTCTTTTGTTTTCTATTCTCTGTATATACGGAGTCCAGAATACGATTTGCAATCAAAACTACAATAATGAACTGACGACGACTTATTGAAAAAAAAAATCAAATTTGCTTCCAGGTGAGCCTGTGTCAAACATCACTGTCTGGTAAAATAAAAAATGCTTTTAATATTCTCAGTTTTGTGTAATTTTATACTAGTTTAGGTCACATGTTGATCCACTGAACACTGAGGAATACCTCTTTAAAGTTAAAGCTTCATTTTATTGCATCATAGTACTGAAAACAATGGACATAAAACTTTCATTTATCAACAAAGAAACATGACCATACTTTAAGTCAACACTAAACTTTGAATATACTGTATAATACTAATAAGACAATGTCATGAACTTATGCACAATGGTCTTATTGCAAGTGTTTTTAATACAGCTTTTTTAATGACAGTTCATGTAGCTCTTTTTCTTTTGCTTCCCTTTGTATGGATGAAATCACTTTATGCTTATACATTTTCAATCAAATCCAAATAAAAATGATTAAGTTGTCTTTTCCTGTATAAATTTAAAAACTGCCAACAGACGTTGATCCAAAATCTTCAAAAGTAATTATTAAGGTATTCAAAAAACATCCATTTAMGTAATGCAAAATGACCACATTAAATCATAAATTTGTTCATTTATTAGGGTAATGTTTGGACAAGAWCTTGCCAGCTGTCAGTAAACTCACCACGTCAAACCCAGTCTTTTTTTGGACTCCTGTATATTTGCAGGCTGGCGAAGTTGTTTAATCTTCTCGGTGGTGGCAGAGACGTATTTGGGCATCTGAGCGCCGGTGGCATCGTGGACGAGGTAGATGGGTCCAACGCCACCAGAARCAGAGCCGCCTCTCGCTCCTTCCTTTGCAGCTTTGTACAGTGGAAACACGTTGCGTTTAGCTTCCGCTGCTGCGCTGATGATGTGCTGCGAGTACTGCTGGAACCGCTCTTCCTCTTCCATGAGGAGTTGGGCGTTCTTTGCGTTAAAGTTGCGTTCTTCTTCCTTCAGCTGCTGAAACCTGGCGCTTTTCTCAGCCTAAGAAATAAAAGAAAATGTTTTTTTTTTTTTTTGTTCCTCCCAAGATGCTAAGGATCGGACATTTTTTAAATAAAATTAATTTCTGCTGAAACAGCGTAATTACCTGTTGTGCGGCATTGAAATCGTTCAGTTTTCTTCCATCTTCTCTGAGTTTTTCAGCCTTCTGTTGTTTTTTCTCCAGGAATATTCTGTCAGCCTCTCTCTTTGCCTGCAGGGCCTCCCGGGTCTCCTGCTCAGCGATTTTACCTCTGTGCTCCTTTTCTTTTCTCTGGTGAGACAACCGAGTTACAGTGTGCTGCCACCCTCGTACTGGATCAGGTTTGGATTAAGACTAGATCAGGACTGGATCAGAACTAGATTAAGACTAGATCAGGTCTGGAGCAAACCTAGATTAAGACTAGATCAGGTCTGGATCAGGACTAGATTAAGACTAGATCAGGTCTGGATCAGGACTAGATTAAGACTAGATCAGGTCTGGAGCAAACCTAGATTAAGACTAGATCAGGTCTGGATCAGGACTAGATCAGGTCTGGAACAAACCTAGATTAAGACTAGATCAGAACTGGATCAGGTCTGGAGCAGTACTAGATTAAGACTAGATCAGGACTAAATCAAGACTAGATCAGGACTGGGTCAGAACCAGATTAAGACTAGATCAAGATCAGGACTGGATCAAGACTAGATCAGGTCTAGATTAAGTCTAGATCAGGTCAAGACTGGGTCAGAACTAGGTTGACTAGATCAAGATTAGGACTGGACCAGGACTGGATCAAGACTACATCAGGACTAGATTGAGACTAGATCAGGACTGGATAAGGACTGTATCAAGACTAGATTAAGACTAGATCAGGACTGGGTCAGAACTAGATCAGGACTGGATCAAGACTAGATCAGGACTGGGTCAGAACTAGATTGACTAGATCAAGATTTGGACTGGATCAAGACTAGATCAGGACTGGGTAAGAACTAGACTGACTAGATCAAGATTAGGACTGTATCAAGACTAGATCAGGACTAGATTAAGACTAGTTCAGGATGAGATTAAGACTAGATCAGGACTGTATCAAGACTAGATCAGGACTAGATCAAGACTACATCAGGACTAGATTGAGACTAGATCAGGACTGTATCAAGACTAGNCAGGACTGTATCAAGACTAGATCAGGACTAGATCAAGACTACATCAGGACTAGATTGAGACTAGATCAGGACTGTATCAAGACTAGATCAGGACTGGTTCAGAACTAAATCAGGACTGTATCAAGACTAGATTAAGACTAGATCAGGACCGGGTCAGAACTAGATTGACTAGATCAAGATTTGGACTGGATCAAGACTAGATCAGGACTGGGTCAGAACTAGATTGACTAGATCAAGATTTGGACTGGATCAAGACTAGATCAGGACTGGGTCAGAACTAGATTGACTAAATCAAGATTAGGACTAGATTAAGACTAGATCAGGACTAGATTAAGACTAGATCAGGATGAGATTAAGACTAGATCAGGACTGTATCAAGACTAGATTAAGACTAGATCAGGACTATTAGATTCTAATTCACGTGTACGGCAGGCGTTACCATGAGTTCCCTGTGCTCAGTGACGGATTTCAGCAGCTCAGACTTCTTCCTCCCCTCCTCCTCCTGCAGCTGTGCCCGTTTTGCCTCCCGCTCAGCCACACATTTGGCTATCCTCTGCTCTTCTGTGGCCTTTTGCTCCAGCGGTGTGACGGTCGGTTTGTTCAAAATCTCCCTGCGCAGCTGAGCCTCCCTGGAGAATAAAAGAACTTAAAACCTGAAAAACGAGTTGCTATAAAACATTCAAATCAGATGTTTTTGATGGTACTGAGTCTTACCTTAACAACTCCTGCTCTCTTTCTTTCTGTAACTTCACCATTTTCTCTTTAGTTGAAACGAAAAGCTTTCGTTGTTCCTCCTCGGCCTCCTGTTTTTCTGCATCTCGTGCTCTAATTAGGGCTTTGTTAGCAAGATGATCCTGTAAGAAAACAAAATGCGTCAGCAAACTAAAACGGGGACGCTCGCAGGAGACATTGGATCATCTTTGGTGATACCTGATGAGCTTGCATGAGGTGTCTCTTCTGGTCTGCTCGTCGTTCTGACTCCACTTTTTGCTCCAGCAGATGGAGCTCTTGAAGACGCAGGATTTCCTCGCCATCCTTCTTCTTTCCCAGCTTCTGTTGCTCTCTTGCCAACTCATTTTCGTTCATCCTAAAGAACAAATCACAAGTCTTGATTTAAATTTTAGCTCAGCACAAAATTGCGTTTTTTTTCATCATCATCCTGGACAGTCTAATTTCAGTCTGAGTTAAACATTTATAGATGACAACCAGAGTTTTACTCATCAGATTTTTKCTGATGGTGAAGACAAATGAAGACATTTCCAAGCAGAAACAGCACTCTATAGCCAGGGGCCTATAAACAGACAGTTCATAAATCAGTAGTGGTAAGAAGTTGTACTGGTTTTTCAGGTCTTCTGCTGCAGCCTGTCTCTGGAGCTTCCTGTGCAGAGCTTTCTCCTGCTCTTCTTTCAAGGCTTCATCCTGTTTGGTTTTTACTGTTTCCAGAAACTTTTTGTCCGCATCTTCAGAGGCACGTTTCCTCTGTTGCTTCAGTTCAGTCTGGGCCTCCCTCTGTTTCAGCACCTCGCTCAACAGGAGCGCACTCTGCGGAAGAAATAGCAATTAGTCGATTCATCCAATTTCCACGAGGTGTAATGTGCGAACTGCTCAACACTGACATGTAATCTCCTGACTCGGCTGGTTTGATAGTACAACTGAGTCCTGGCCTTCTCAGCGGTCTCTTGCTGCTTTTGTTCCTTGGATTTGGTTTCTTCGATTTCAATCTGCTTCCTTTCTTCCTCCTCCATCTGCAGCCGAATTTTCCTGGCTTCTAACCTCTTTTGCCTTTGTTTCTGAAACAAACAGTCCATAAATTATGTTTCTGCGTCTGCATAATGAACTTAACCAGAATTTTATAAAGCAAACCGCTTTCTGAGCGAAAGTTGATGACAAAACGTACTTTGATGGTATTGGACCACTGGTTTACCACTTCTTTTGACTGAAGGTGCAGGGCCTCTCTTTGTTTAGCTGCTTCTCCTACATACTGCTTTTCTTTGGTAACTCTCCTCAGGTCATCTTGAATCTTGATCCAATCAGATTTCCTTAAAACAGTGGCTTTCTGAATACCTGGAGGCTGTATTATTTCACTGGCTTCCTGTTCCGTTGCTGCAGCTAAAAAAAAAAGAAAAAAGAAAAAGGGAATTAATATTATGAGAAAACCCTATGTTCATAGGTGAAATTAGCTTGCATCAGACCTGTGTGATTTAAAATGAAGTTGCACATACTGTTTGTATATCTCCCCTTGACTAAATAATGCCTCTTTTTAAGCACACAGCAACATTTATGGCAATTTGGATTATTTTTTTCAACCACTTGGTGAGTTTAAAGAATAATATGAAGATCATAGCTAAACTGACTGAGATATGTTTGTTATACAGAAATATAAATTGGGAGAGAAAAAAAAAGAAAGCACCGTGGTTAAAATGTTTTACCATAGCTTTAACCAGTTATGACTTATGGTCTTAACAGCTGAAAACTTTAAATAAAATTCTATGAATTCTTTCTTTAACTCTCACCACGTTTACTGACTCCCTTCCGACGGCCGCTGAGAGCCACCGACGCCATTTCCCTTTTTTTTTATACTGAAAAATAATACAGTAAAATTGACTTCTGTGTTTACGAACAGCTGTCGGTGCTGAACTGGATCGGCTCCGGGGTCTGACTCAACCTACCCTGGCATTAACAACCAATCACCAATCTTGCTTCAACCCAATCCACCAATCACAGCACTTCGTTCCGCCCACACAAACCCTCCGKCCCACCGGCTGAGCCAAGTTCTGRGTTTGTTGGGGTTGTATCCAGGCAACGGTAGAGCCAATCACAGACCTTTTCGGGCTGTAGGCATTGGCAAATAAATAAATAAATTAATAAATAATAAAAAAAGGCGGTCGCCTAGAGCGCCATCTGCTGGATGTGGCGCCGCTGCTTCAGTTTATATATACGATAGATAGTACGATAGATAGTACGATAGATAGTACGATAGATAGTACGATAGATAGTACGATAGA